TCCATGGAAAGGACAATATAGGCCTCCAAATAATCTCATTATTAAACATAAACCATATACAAATATTATTAATAAATGTCACTATCATTATCTATTTCTAACTCTATATACTATATAACTATATACTATATATGCACGTGTATATATACACTATATATAAAAATTAAAATATAATTATTAAATTATATGCTATATACTAAATAAATGTATACATTTATAGTATATTTAGTATATTTATAGTATAATTTGTATATTTAGTACATAGTATATAATATTTATTTATAGTATATTTATATTTTATATACTATATATATAGCTATATATTCTATATATGTATATATATACTCTATATGTAAAAATTAAAATCTAATTATTGAATAAAAACCATATCTAAATATTACTATTAAAAATCACTATCATTATCTATATATAACTATATACTATAGATATATAATACATATTTATAAAATTAAAATATATATCAAATATGATAATAAACTAGCAATATTAAAAAGTCTTAAAATAACATATATAATACTTATATTAGTATATAATATATATACTAATTATATAGTAAATATAGTATACATACCATCTATAGTATATATATTAGCTATACTAATTATATTAATATATAATACTTATATATATTTATATCAGAAATCATCTGTTCTATTCATATTAAATATTAAATTCTACAACTTTAAAACTACTTCCAAAAATTTTAAAAAAAGTTTATTATCAAAAACTGTACTTACTCCCCCACATCCTTCACACAAACTATATTATCTACAATAAACAACAAAAAAAACCCTCTCTTTTTACTCTTAATTAATTTTTCTAACTAACTGAAACAAAAAAATCTCCCTAAACTATATATTTTTTTTCCTTTTTCTTAAAATTGTTCAAACCTCCTGTAAACTGGAACTGCTGCCCAGGAGGAGCAGTGTTTGGGAGGCTCCTGGGATTAGGGAGAGTTCCAGGCTGGGATTGCTGCTGTTCTGCCTCTCGTTGTCACTAAAGCTGCTGAACAGTTTGTGTGTGAGCAGAACATCTTCAAAGAGCTCTTTGCTGTCAGAGCATTAAAAATTCAAAATAATCTCCTCCCTCCTGACAAAGAGCTTGTTTCTGCAGTGAAGTTGATTTTTAAAGCTGTAGATTCAATATTTTGAAAATAATTGAAGCTAAGATTGACTAAACAGCAGAGGAGTGCCAGAAGCATATGGCATTCCTGCTAATGAAGCCAGCTAGAGACTTGTGTGCATGTGATCCTGCAGTGTAGTTTGAGAGGAAAAAAGTTTATCCCAGGTTGTCATTTCTGATTTCAAACATAAAATCAAGGAATGAAAATAAGCTATTTTTCCAAGTTACATTGAAGCCTCCACCCCAGGTTCTAATGCAGGAGCTGGAATGCAGCAGCAGCAGTGCTAAACAAGCATTAAACCTGCATTAAAACCCTTGACAAGATTCCTTTCCAGGGATACTCTCATCTGTAACTGCTTTCTTTCCTTCTCACCCAGGTCAATAACATTAACCAGCCCTTAGAAATAACAGCCATTTCCTCTCCTGAAAACTCCCTGAAGAACTCTCCTGTTCCTTACCAGGACAATGACCAGCCCCCAGTGCTGAAAAAGGAGAAGCCCCTGGTTCAGAGCAACGGTGTCCATTACTCGCCCCTGACATCGGATGACGAGCAGGGCTCTGAGGATGAGCACAATAGCAGCAGGTGAATACACAGGCACAGTTCCAGCAGGAGATTTCTCCCAGGGCTGATGGCACTGCTCTCAGCAGGAGGGGAGTGTTTAAACCTCTTTGTTCCCCTTGCTTGGAGGCCCCATGCCATTATCCCAAATCTCTGATGTGGCTGAAGCTGTGAACAGGGAAGGTATTCAGGCAGGAGAATGTGGGAACCTCCTGGTGCTGCTGTGTTTGCAAGGCTGGCAGGGTCTGGCCTTGGAAATAACTGGTGGAGAAATGGAGGAGACTGAGGGGAGACTCCTCGGGGGCTGCAGCTCCTCCCGATGGGAGGCAGAGGGGCAGGGGCTGAGCTCTGCTCTGGGCCAGGGCCAGGAGCCCAGGAAGGGCTGGAGCTGTGCCAGGGCTTGGCATGGAGCTCAGGGAAAGGTTCTTCCCCCCGAGGGTGCTGGGCACTGCCCAGGCTCCCCAGGGAATGGTCCCGGCCCCAAGGCTGCCAGAGCTCCAGGAGCGTTTGGACAGCGCTCTCAGGGATGCTCAGGGTGGGATTGTTGGGGGGTCTGTGCAGGGACAGGGGCTGCACTCATCATCCCTGAGGGATCCAGCTCAGGATATTCCAGGGTTCTCTGATTTTCTTGCTGTGTTGTTTTGTAGGAGCACTGAGCTTGTGTGTGATCTCTGACTAAGGATCTGTGTCCTGCTCACTCCCACTTTGAAACTCTGTTCAAAATTCTTCAGTTCCTGCCCCAAACTATTGATGTGTTACTCTGGAAATTGATTATTTGCCACCCTTTGCCTGCCTGTGGGGTGCAATATTTTTCTTATTTAAGATTCTGGAAAGCTGTCCAAGGGCAGCGTTAGATGGGATATTGGGCAGGAATTGTTCCCTGGGAGGGTGGGCAGGGCTGGCACAGGGTGCCCAGAGCAGCTGTGGCTGCCCCTGGATCCCTGGCAGTGTCCCAGGCCAGGTTGGACATTGGGATTGGAGCAGCCTGGGACAGTGGAAGGTGTCCCTGCCATGGCAGGAGCAGAATAAGATGAGCTTTGAGGTCCCTCCCAGCCCAAATCATCCTATGGTTCTGTGAAAAATAACCACTATAGAAATGTGGTTCTACTTCTTGTTTTGAAAGAAAAACAACAACAAAGTTCTCTGAACATGCACTAATCCTGTCAAAGAGCAGTAATTCTGTAACAGCTCCTGCCTAAAGTTTGTGGTGGGTTTTTTGATGTTTATGAGTTCCTTTAGTGACATAAAACTGTGGGGCTGACTTGGTTATTATAATCTCTCATCTGATAAGACCTGATCCTGGGGAGTATAGAATGTGAATGTGCAACAGAAGATTTGCTATAGGTGCTATAACCTTTTTATTTTCCCACTAGAATTGAGAGGAAAATTGCAACAATATCATTGGAAAGCAAATCTCCACAGAAGACTGTTGAAAATGGTATGTGTGAGGAATGGGGATTGTTTGTGGGGATTGTTTGGGGATGGGTGAAGCTCTCAGGCAGTGGGAGGTTTCTGTCTGCTGCTGGACAAAATGCCATTCTTAATCATCATTAAGCCAGGTGGCTGTTAGTTACAGATTTTGGGTCACTTCTTTCTGTAGTCACATGTCACCAAAGATCTGAGCAGTTTTTTCACTGACTCAGGGTTTGAGGAGGGATCTGTAGTGCAAAGATAAGGGGAAAAAGCAGATCAGTGTCCTCAGACTTTTCCTCTAACAATTTGACAATCAGAGTGTTAAACTGAATTTTAAGGACTTTTAGGTGACTTTATAAATATTTCTGCCGTTGGTTCAGAAATAGAATTACAGATTGATAAAAGGTGAGTGTTGAAAGATAAAAAATGTGTGTGCTGCCCAGAGAAGGGTCTGGAGCACCAGGAGGAGCTGGGGGGGCTCAGGCTGGAGAGAAGGAGTCCTCAGTCCTGACAGGAGGGAGCAGCCAGGAGGGACCAGGCTCTGCTCCCAGGAAATAAGGCACAGGACAGGAAGAAATGGCCTCAAGCTGTGCCATGGGAGGTTTAGATTGGATATTGTGAGAATTTCTTCACTAAAAGGATTGTCAGGCATTGGAAGGGGCTGCCCAGGGCACTGGTGGAGTCCCCATCCCTGGAAGTGTTCAAATAACCGATGGATGTGTCACTTGAGGACATGGTTTAGTGATAACCATGGTGGTGGTGCTGGTTGATGATTGGACTTGATGATCTTAAAGGTCTTTACCAGAATCTGTGATTCTATAAATCCCCGTTCTCAAGGGGCAGATTTAGTGAATGCTGTTTATTGACATTTGTAAACCTTTCCCCCTCAACCAGGTGGCAGCTTATCAGGGAGGAAACAAGCACAAAGCAATGAGAACATGAACAGCAGCAAATGGAAATCGACTTTTTCACCGATCTCTGACATCAACCTGACCAAAACCACCGACAGCCCCCTGCAGGCGGTGTCGGCTCTGAGCCAGAACTCCCTGTTTGCCTTCAGGCCGCCCTCTGAGGACGGGCTGCCCATGGACACCAAGGTCCCAGGACACCCCAGGAAGAGCCTGGCAGTGCCCTCGGATGGGCTGAGCCCTGGCACAAACCCCCCCAATGGCTTCAGCTACAACGGGGGCCTGTCCTCCGAGCTGGGGCTGCACGGCTTCATGGACAGCGCTGCCCTTCCCCACAAAGCTGCGGACGGGACGGCTCCCAACTGCTCCCTGGCCTTCCCCCCGCAGCGAGCCAAGGACCTGGGCGTGTCAGACACGAACCTTTTCCTCAACAAGAGGCAGCTGGAAGGTCTGGGCACCAAGGGAGAAGAGCTGAGCCGGCCGGGGGTGAAGGGCAAAGAGCTCAGCGAGCTGAGCGCCCGAGCGGGGGGGTCTGCGGAGAAAAACTCAGTGCAGCACAACGGGAAGGTCGGCAAGGGAAGGGACCGAGACGTGGAGTTCAAAAATGGCCACAACCTTTTCATTTCTGCTGCTGTTTCATCTGGTGGCCTTCTGAATGGTAAAAGCCTTTCTACTGCTGTTTCCTCAGCAGGGACCCCAGCGCCCTCGGTCCCGACGCACCATCCTTTCCTCAACACTCTCACCACTGGATCGCAGTTCCCCCTCGGCCCCATGGCCTTGCAAGCAAACCTCAACTCGGTGACAAATTCCTCAGTATTGCAGTCCTTATTTAATTCAATGCCAGCTGCTGCCAGTCTGGTCCACGTGTCATCAGCTGCAACCAGACTGACTAATTCTCACACTATGGGGAACTTCTCTCCTGGGGTTACAGGTGGAACAGTTGGAGGTAGGCAGAACTCTTTCTCTGGTATAAGACAGGGCCTAAAGGAAAGTCTGACACTGCCTCTCCAGGGGTGAAACCCTTTCATTTCTACAGGATGTGAAGCAGATCTGTCCCACATAACCAGTCTCCTCTCTCTCTCTCTCTCTCTCTCTCTTGGAATTGCTAAGATGATTTCAGTTCCCCACAGTGAAATCTCATGAGCTTTGTCTGCTAGATGAGCTTGTTGTACCACCTTAATGAAACAATACACCCAGACTTTGTGATTGATAATATTTGCTTGTTCAGATGTTGCTGTGTTGGAACCAACTTAGGTCTGCCTGCAGGTAACAGATTTGACTTGTCCTGGTACCGTGTTAAGGATGTCTTAACTTGTCAACTTGAGTAAAGGTTGAGATTAGGCCTTGAATGGATTTAGCATGATCCAGGAGGAGCAGAACATCAGAGGAGCTGGTGTTGGGAGTTCTGTAGCGTTCTGGCCCTTGAATGGACACGAAGAGCATTTCTTGGCCAGGAAGGGCAATGCCATATGCACCTTGCACTTCTGGGATTCTGCACAGGCTTGGCTTCTGTGGCCCACACCGGGGACAAGCTGGCAGGACTAGAAGATAGGCTGAACCTGCCATTTCTAAGTGTCCAGGGCAGTTTTTCTTACCTGTCCATAATCATTCAGGCACCATGTCGGGAAATCCTAACTCTCACATCTCTCAGCATGTAGATTTGCTGGAATTACAACTCCCCTCTGCTGCCCTGTAAGTGGGGGAGCAGGAGGGTGGGGAGGGAAGAGCAGCACTTTGAGTCTTCAGATAACCAACTCTAAAGACCACTTCTAATCTCATCAAAACTCTGCCCGTGTGGTATAGAACTGACAGTTCTTGGGTCTGACCATTTTTCCTCGTGGCATTTAGAGGTTGGCAGTAGGAAAGGTAAGTGGAACCTTTTGTACCTCCTGGCCTGCACCATTACTCTTCATTGCTTGCTGCCTTCTCACACTGCATATTTTTGTATGGGGCTGTAACTATTATAATTTTGCTCTTTGTTTGTTTATTTCTTTTTTTTTTCTTTTTTTTTTGTTTTGTTTCTCTTGTCACTTGAGACTGTACAAAGCCCATCTGTTGAAGCTGAGTTTTTCTCTCCTGTTTGCAGGTATTTTTAACCATGTGGTGCCTTCTGCCTCCTCTCCTCATCAATTTGGAGCCAGTTTCAGCAGCAGTGCTGTCTCTAGCAGCACAGTGCTAAGCTTAAACCCTCTGCAGGCTGTTGCCAGCACCTCATCCTCATCCTTCCCACCCTCTTCCTCTAATTTAGTAACATCTAGTGAGACTAGACCTGCTCAGCACCTCAACAGAGCGCCAGTGCAATCTGTCTTCCATCCCCCTCCTCCCCCTCCTAACGTGTCCTTGCCTCCCCCTCCTCCTTTACTCGCTTCTAACTCCGAGCCTGCTCTCCTGCAGAACCTGCCCTCCATCCCCCCCGGCGAGACGTTCCTGTCCTCCTCCTCCTCCTCCTCTGCTCCTGTCCAGTCTAACTCTTCTTTGTCTATTAAACTGGCTTCTCTGCAGCACAAACCCTCCCGCCCCTCCTTTACCGTGCACCACCCGCCCCTGCCCCGCGTGCTCCCGCAGCCCAACGCCGCTGGCACGGCCGCTATGTGGGTGACCCTTGGCATGCAGCCTCCTTATGCTTCGCACCTTTCGGGGGTTAAGCCACGATAAAGAGCTTGCTTAGCTAACAGTTCTTGTTTTGTAAGGTAAGGCCAGACACAAAACCAGAGGAGTTTGCGTGCGAGATGCTCACTGACGCTTCTTCCTTTGCAGAGAGAGGTCGGGGCCAGGCTCTGTGAGACAGAAACCTCTGAAACGGGGAAAATGATCCCTAAAATGGGGCAGAGAAACTTCTAAAATGGGGAGAGAAATCTCTAAAATGTGGGGAGTAAATCACCTGATGGCAGAGGATGGAAAGTGTTGGTGCTCTCTGTTCTGGGAGTCAGGATTTCTCGACAAGGAGTGCTCACAGGGGTAACTCTGCTCTGGCTCAGGGTTATGTTCAAGCTGAGATCTCTTCATAGAAAGAGAGAGTATTCTTTCTGGAGGAAGTAACAGGAGGAAATGTCTATTTTCCATGTGGTTTCATAAAGTTCTTGGAAGTGGGTGTTGCCCATCTGATCCCCCTCCCCTCCTGCACAGCCTGTTTATCCCAAGCCAGTCCTTGTCCATTGAGGTGCTCAAAGGTGCCTCTGTGGCTCTGTGTGACAACGTGGTGGTCAGTAAAAACTGCCAGTCGGCAACAGCTGCTCTAAACAGTCACAACGTTAAAAACCTCTGGCTTATAAGCTTCAGCTTTGCTTGGAGAGCAAACTCCCTGGGCCTGCAGTGCAGTCAGTGTCCCCTGCATCACTGGAAACACAAGCACAGGTAGCAGAGAAGGGCTGTGACTCCCCAGTCACTTCCCTGTGCTGGACTTGCTGCCAGGGCCAGCAGGAGCAGTCTCAGCAGATGTTTTATTTTTGCTCATGAGCCCTGGGAGCACAGGGAATGTGCAGGGGGAAGTGGGCTCCACTCTCCACAAAGGCTGTAGGGGAGAGGAGGGTTCTGGAGGCTGTGTGCATTTCTCCTGAAGCAGGTATTTATTGAACTGTCTCTAGAGCTGCTCCAGAATAAACTGTACCACCACAGAGCTGGGTACTGTGGTTCATGCAAACGCTCTGTGGCAATCCTGCTGTACCAACTCGTGCTTGCCAATGCATCCAGCCCCGGAGCTGGCCCCGTGCTTTCCTTGTAGGTCTGTGATGTTGTTGTTCTACACTGGTACCAAAGCTACAAACGTGGTTGAACACACTTTGCTGCTTATAAAACTCGATTACAACACACCTGAGAGAGCCTCTGTGCATTGTGTGTAGTGTCTTCCTCATCAAATTCCTCCTCAGACACCACAAACCCCTGGTTAGGCTTTTGGGAGGCACGTAAGTATTGCCAGGAAAGGGAGGCTGAGGAAGGGCTTTGTGTGCCAGCAGAAAGGTGGGCCTGAAAAACCCCAAACAGAGAGAGAATGGGGGTGAAGGAAAATGGGGATGGTGAGGAGGGTCTGTTTGAGGTCTGTGTGAGAGTCTCTGCTGGAATTTCCTGGAACTGAGGCCATGCTGGACTAGGATCCATCAGGTGTGACAGTCCCTGTCACTGAAAAATTCTGAAAATAGAGGCACAAAAGGGACTTGAAGAAGAGTAGCTGGGTGTCAAATCTGGGTTGTGGAGCAAAGGAATAGAACTGATGGTACCAGAGGTGGTTGTGATCCCAAGCCCTGTGACTGGAAGCCAGGCCAGGTATTGGAGCAGTGTCCTTGATTTCAGTGAGATGTGTTGAGTCCTTGAGGAACCAGGGCTAGAACCAGGAACTGGGGACTAAAATAACCTGCTTTGCTTCTCTTCTGTGGAGCCGAGCTGGGGGTGCTCACCTGGAGAGGAGAAGGATCCAGGGAGAGCTGAGAGCCCCTTGCAGGGCCTAAAGGGGCTCCAGGAGAGCTGGAGAGGGACTGGGGACAAGGCATGGAGGGACAGGACACAGGGAATGGCTTCGACTGCCAGAGGGCAGGGCTGGATGGGATATTGGGCAGGAATTGTTCCCTGGGAGGGTGGGCAGGCCCTGGCACAGGGTGCCCAGAGCAGCTGTGGCTGCCCCTGGATCCCTGGGAGTGCCCAAGGCCAGGTTGGACATTGGGATTGGAGCAGCCTGGGACAGTGGAAGGTGTCCCTGCCATGGCAGGGGTGGGATGGGATTTAAGGTCCCTTCCTACTCAAGCCTTTCTATGATTCATATTATCCCTCCCGAACAATAATAATAACAAAACTCAAAGCAGATTAACTTGTATTATAAAAAGGTGAAGTACTGAGGGGGGAAATATCTTTTTTTTTTTTTACTCTTTTCCCCTCACTCGATGTCAGTCCCATAGGACAGAGTTCAACACAGTCACAGCTTGAAAAACTGCAGCGTTTGGAGGGGCCACGTGTCCCTTGGAACATCCATCCTTTCCTCTAATTGGGATTGGGTCAAGATTTGCTTCATCTGAGGAGGTCTTGGAACAATGTAGGAATGATTGACACATCTAACAACACAGCAGATTTTTGCCTTTTATTTAGATGAGTCTCTTCCTCTCCTCCTGTTGTGCAGGTAACTAGGATTTCTACCTCAACCCAATGTGACCTATGCAAGGACAACGTGGACCAACTTCACTCGGCTTCCACTGAAAGGTGCTCACCTGGCCTGTGCAGGGGTTTCTACTCTCTTACTACTGGACAAAATTAAAAAAAAAAAAAACATAAAAAAGACCTAAACAACAGAGCAAACATTTACTGTGAATCTGAGTAAAAAAAAGGAAAAAAGGCAAAAAAAAAAAAAAAAGGCAAAAGAAATGCTTAAAGCTCCAGTTTGTATTGTTGATAGTTTAGATAAAGTATTTATCTTTTTTTTAAAGTGAAAACAATTTTGACTTATTTTATTCCACCTAGACTCAAATACAAATGATTATTATTAAATTCTCTGAATACTAAAGGACTGGCACACCAGCAGAGATGTTAAAGAGCCTCCTCGGTGCTATTTTGTCCGTCAGAACTGTGCCTCTGGTTTGAATCCTTGGTGCTGATTTTGGGGGGGTTGACCAATGCCAAACCCAGTTCTTAAAGGTCTGCAGATTATTTATTCCCCTGACTGTTCATATCCCAAAATCCACTTGCTTGGCAGCCGGGGCTGACAGAGAATTCTCCTCCCTGGGGGTTGCTTTGGACTGAGCCAGGCGCTTTTGAGCTGGGTGGGTTTTAATTGAGTCTGTGCCTAACGAGGGCTCTGTGCTCCCCTCTGGGGCAGCCTGGCTGGGCACAGCCCACGCAGGCACAGCTGGAACAGGAGAAATCCAAGTCCTGCCCCATCCCAACTACTTCCCTGGGCCATTTGCAGTTGCTGGTGGCTCTCAGGTCACTGTGAATTTTGGTAGCTGGTCTGGTAACGCTTCTTGGGGCTGCCCTTGGTGTATGAGCAGGGTGTGTTCAGCTGAGTGAGCAGCTCCCTGGTGCTGCTGCAGCCTTTCCCCAGCCTTGGCAGGACTGACCATTGTGTTTGTGTCCTGCTGCAGGCTTTGCTCAGCTCGTTGTTGTTCTGTTCCAAGCCGTGTTTCCTTGGTAGGGTTTTGATACTTGACTGTGACCCGGCTTGGCCGTGTACATGGATTGACAAGGTGCATTTTGCTTTCGTGTTCCTTTGCTTTTGAGTGGGTTCTTGAATTGTAGTTCACAAAAACACCCTGACCTGGCTGCCTGTGCTGCCACTGTCCCTCCTGGGGCAGGGGTTGTGTCGTGACTCGGTGTTGTGTGTGCAGGAAGGGCCGATTTTATAGAGCTGTGATGAAAACTTCTAAGTTTCCTATGCTTTATTTCCTTTATTTTTAGACTGTACAATGCACAATGAACCTGTAAAAACTTATTTATTCAAGTGCACAAAGTGAGGAGGAGAAGGAGGGTCCATTTAAGTAGAAATCAGGCTGGTCTGAGTTCAGGCTGGGCCAAGCACCAATAAAGGAAACTACAGTAGAAAGGGGATTGCAACAGCAAAATGACTGGAAAAAAATCACATTCAGGCTTTGGAAAACACCTCCCTGCTGACCCTGGTGCTCAGAGGGGCAACACTGTCTTTTAAATCCCTTCTTGTGCTCCCTGGTGAGTCTCCCACTGCAGCAGTCAGGCACTGGCAGGAGCTCCATGGAGCATCCCAGGGTCACAAACAATTGCTCAGCTCCTGCCTCTGGGTTAGGAGTCAGTGAAGTCCCTGTGCCCTCACAGGGGGTGAGGGGCTGCAGCAGCTCCCACCCTGCAGGGTTCAGCTCTCTGTGCCTCATCCTGGGCAGTCTGAGGAGAGGTTTAGGACCAAGTGCAGTTTTTTGTTGATTTCTGAGCGTCTTCCATGGGAGCCTCTGTGTGCAGACTCTGGGGTCTGGTCTTGCCTCCTTATCCCCTGGGAAGGGACTGAAAGCCCTGGGAACTGGGGGCATTTTGGAATGTTTTCTGCTTTGTGTGTCCTGCTCAGGGACTGGCAGCACGAGGAAAACCTGGAAAAGGGCAGGAATGCTCGGGGTGAGAGGAACATCCAGTAGCTTCTCGTAGGAGCCAAACACAGTGTATGTCCTGGAATCCAGGAGCACAATGTAACCCAGATGTTTTGCAGCTGGGAGTTGGGCAGCTCCAGCTTCTTCCCCAGAACACAGCAGAGTGCTGGGGCCTCTGGAGACTGTAAATGAGTGATTGCTGGAGGGGCAGCAGCCTTAATTCATTTCCTAATTACCTCTCCCCCATCGTTTATATCTCTGATGAGAGAGAGAGAGAGGAGGAAATACAAGTAGAAGCTTTTCATCCCCCTGACTTTATCAGATCCTTTCCTGCAGAGGATATGGTGCCCCTTGGGGCTCTTGTGCCTCCCTTCACCTCCAGCCACGGAGATCCAGGAAGAAAACTCAGCTGCCATCCCCTGTCCTGGTCTGGTTGGATTCATGCTGGAGAAGGAACCAACCCCCAGATTCCATGGAACCCTCTGTGCTTCCCAGCACTGCTCGAGGCCTGGGTCACCTGTGTCACCCTGCTGGCACCTGACACTCCCTGCATGATGAGGAGGGACAGATCCTGGTGGGAATGATGTGCTCTGCACGCAGCAGTTCTGGGGAGCCACACTGAGCTGCCACAGAGGTCAGGGTGGCCTGGGCACTGTCTCCTCACAGCTGGACTCTGATCTGGAAGATCTTTTCCAACCTGAACAATTCTATGATTCCAGGACCCTTTGGAGCAAAGGTCTTGTGTGAGGAGTTTGTCACCTGCTCTTTGGTGAGTGTTGTGGAAAAGCAAAGCCCTGTCCCTCAGTGTCACCTCTGGTCACTGCTTTGGTGGCCAGCCAGTGTCCAAGGCAGGGCTGGCTCAGGAGCAGCCTTGGGAATGGGCAGCACTGGAGCTCAGCACTCAGCTGTGACTGAGCCACTGCCACCCCCCAGGATTTCTGAGTCTGTGACCCTCCAGATGTCACCCAGGAAGGCCCAAGGGAAGCAGACCCAGGAATGAATCCTTGGGATTCCTGGAAAGGGATCCAGTCTGCCTGAGCCTCAACCTTCCCTGCCAGCATCCCAGTGCCTGCTGATCCCACCCTGCCATTCCACACTGCTGCAATCTGGAGCTGCTCTGGCCTTGCTGGTGTCTTCCCCCGGGCCCTGCCCTGTTCCTGCTCCTGGTAGCAATTCCCAAATGGTGCTTCCAGAGGGGGCCTGCTCAGCACTGAGGTGGGAAGCCAAGGGGGCAGTTTGGGACTGGTGCCTCGGCACTGGCTAAGCTGGGAGATGTTTTTGCCAAGAAATTCCTGGTTTTGTCTTCCCTCTCCCTGAGCTTTTATTGCTTTGCCATGATCTGGGGCAAAGTTCAACTTAAAATCGTGGAATTACAGAACATCCTGAGTTGGAAGGGACCTGGAGGCTCACTGAGTCCAGCTCCTGGCCAGTCTCTTCCTGCTCTGTCTGCACATTGGGAAGAGCTTTCACCTGGCTGGAGGCAGACCTTGGAGCTGGTGGGATCTGATCCATGTGGCCACACTGTTGGAACACTGAGCCAGAAGCTGAAACCTGTTTGCAATAATTGAAGATCCTCTGGAGCAATCAAAGCCAAATAGTTCCATAAAAGAGAATTTCTGCTGGTGCTGGGTCCAGTCATTCCAGGGCTGTCACACAATTCCCCCTCCTCCACGCCCCTGCTGCCAGCAAAGGACTCGCCAGGAAGCAAAAACACATCTTGGAGCAAGTGTGCTGCCAAAAAATGGAACTTCCTGAGTGCTGTGCTGAGGAAAACCTGTCCCTGCTGCTAAATGTCAGCCTTGAGGAACAAGACTTGCGTGGGCTCTTCCTTTTTTGGGGATTTGCCACCTCTGGCTCGCCAGGCCCAGTCCCCTGGGACCCACAGTGCTGGGAGGGCTCCAAAGGCACTGGACCTAAATTTGGGATTTTCTGCAGATGAATCATTCAGCAGCAATTCTTCCATCAGCCAGGGGTGTGGGGACACCCAGCAGTTGGATTGCTGAGGATGTGGAGGCTGGATCTGAGCTGGGACAGGGATGATGGGGGTGTGGGGGTGTCCCTCCATCTCCTCTCACGCTGGTACAAACCCGCAGGAAGGTGAGGATCAGTCTGCACAACCAGGGAACATCTTCAGTTCAGTTGTGGATGCAGTGGGAGAGAGGAGGAGGAGAAGCAGCTTTTTAGGGAAGCAGCAGGAGTGCAGCACATCCTTACTGTTCCTGGCATTCCTGCACTCAGCATCATCTCCAGCTCCTTCTAACCAGAAGAATTTGTGTCTCCTTGACCAGACAGATCAGAAATTCTTGTGCTTCCATCTCTTTTCTTTCCTTCCTGTTGGGGACAGCACTTTATCTTCCAGTGCAGGCTTTGTGCTCCCCCTGCTCTCGGCTGGGGTTTGGCTCTGGGCCCAGCCTGGCACGGGCAGTGCTGGGACTCTCTGTGGGACCAAGCTGAGCTTGGAGGGTCTGAGTCTGGGATCACACCCACAGTCCCTGAAGTCCTGCAGGCAGAAGGTGACATCACTTGGTCATGAATGGATTTACTCATCTCTTTTTGGATCCAGAGATTCCAAAACCACAGGACTTGACACTCAGTGTGAAACTCGCCCAGCTCTGGGTCACACTCAGTTCAGGCGCTGAGTCACTTTCTTCTTTCTTTAGTCAAACTTAATCCTTGAGAAAGTCACTTGAGCAATTGCAGCCTGGCACTGGAGAGGTTCCCAGCCTGATCAGCTCTTCCATCCCACCTGGAAACATCTCCAGCAGGAGCATTGCTCCAGGGCTGCCTGGGGCTGTCCCTGCCCTCACCCCACTGGGGACACGTTTCCTTCAGCCTTCTTTGGGGGCACTAAATGACCTTTAAAGGTGCTTTCCACTCTTTCCAAACTGTTCTGATTCTCTTTACAGACACATCTGGGAGGAGGTGGGTGAGAGCCAGACCTACCTTACCTGCTGCTCCTGCACCTTCACCCCAGTGCTGTGGGGTACAAGAGTTGGCAGCTCAGGTGTTCCCCCCACAGGGACTCCCCTGCCTGTGCTCATTGTTTCCATCTCATCCCAGCCTTCCCTGGATCTTCCTGTTCTGCTGGGCTGCCCCTTCCAGGGGAAGTCTTTTCTTGTGGCCATGGACAGCCAGCCTGGGATTTGGTTCTTGCTGGGATTTGTGTGTTCAGAAAGCAGCACCTGCTACCCCCACCTGTTCTTCTTCTACTTGGAAGTCCCAGGCAGAGGAGAGGCCGAGGGATGGTGGCAGGGACGATCCCAGCAGTGCTGGGAACACCCAGCCCTGGCTCAGGGAGGGGACAGCCAGTGCTTGCAGCTCCTCTGAGTCCCTTCAGGGCCCACCTTGGCACTGGGGACCTGTGGTGCCACCTGTGCCCTTGGGATGCTCTGGCTCCCCTGTCTGCTCCAGGTCCTGCTGCTTGCTGGCCGAGGACACTCCCAGCTCTGGGAGCCGTTCTCAGGCTGATTCCCCTCCCTGCTCATCCTTCCCTGGGCCCTTCCTTCCCTCCCCAGCCGGGTCTGGAGCATCCCCGAGCCTGGGGCTGCCTGCACTGGGTCCCCGTCCTGTGTCCCTGTCCTGGATCCCTGTCCTGTGTCCCTGCACTGTGTCCCTGTCCTTTGTCCCTGTCCTGTGTCCCTGCACTGTGTCCCTGTCCCCAGGGGTGCTGCTCTGGAGGAGGATTTCCCCAGGATTCTGGGATTTCTCCTGTTGTTGATGCTGAGGTGGCTTTGGTGGGTCAGGTCCTGTGTGACCCATTTGCTTTGGGTGCTGAATTCTGATCCAGGGCTGGAAACCTGAGTGTTCTCCCTGTGTTCTGTCCTGGGTAACTCCACCCTGGGCTCATCCCAACTCCCAGGCGTGGCTGGTGTGGAAAATTCTGCTTTTCTTGTTGTTTGGCCTGAGCCAAAAGCACAGAGAGGATTAAGGATTGGGAGCAGGGGAGGGCCTTAGACAGGGCTGTGAACCCAAATTCCTTTTGGGGAGCAGAAACTACACAGTGGTTTTGTGAACTATCTTTGCAGCACTGAGGAAAAATCACAGGAATTGGAGTTTTGGGAGCACAGATGTGCAGTCAGTGTATGAATATTTGAAGTCTTACTGGTTTTAAAGGGTTATTTTCTTCCCTTTTTTTTTTTTTTTTTTGCTTCATTTCCATTTTCCGGTCCATTTGTGGATCAGGTTTTCACTAAAAGCTGGAGTTCCAGTTTCAAAATATTGTTGTGCCATATTTTATTTATCCTTATACATTATAAATATATAAATATCTATTTAGACTGATTATTGCATTGAAAGATGCTGTTATTGGGAACTTCAGGGTTTAAACCCAAGACAAAAAAAAATTGGGAAATAATTCTCCAGTACTTTTGCTGTTTGGGACCTTCCTGAAGAGGCTCCTTGAGTTCTTTATGGTGTAAAAACAAAATCACATCCAAAAATTCAAAGTTTGATGATGCTAACCCTGAAGTTCTCAGATTTGTGATCCTTTGGTTTTCTCGAGGTACATCTGGTTGCTTTTCTGGTGCAGTCAAATAATTTTTTTAAAGGTTTTGTCTCTGGAGTTATTGAGGAAAAGGTGGAATGGGTTGATCCATCCTGCTTGGCTTTTTTAACCTATTAATCTTTGAAGTGATCGATTTCCAATTAAAACCCAACTTTTTAGGTCTCTGTTCTACTTAAACTTTTTAGGAGTGAGAGCCTGCCCTCGCTGAGTGGGACTTGGATGGGGAAAGCAGTAGATGATGAGGTTGCTGTTGCTCAGGAATTGATTAGTAAACTTTTAACTACTAATAAAAATCCATTTTTCAATGGATTTTTAGAAAAACCCATTTTCTTAGGACAGTGATATGGGATGTTTCCTAGTGAATAGGAATTAGTTTATATAGTTTAGCCTATTAAAATGAATTATTTAAAATTCAAACTTCCCCTAATTTATCTTTTTTTTGGTTGGTTTTTTTTTTCCTTTTTGTTTTTTTTTTTTTTTTAATTTTTTTTTTAATACTGGTAAGTTGTCCTGTCATTCCTTTCATTCCTGCCTAGCAGTAGTGTGAATTCTGGTGTGTATATATGTATGTATAATATATATATTTCCACCCGGCCTTTCTAATTCTCCACAATGTAAGAGTTAGTTTTTGCTCCCCTCCTTCCACTTAATTTCTTGTGTCTCCCTTGATTTGTAATTGAAACGATGCTTTGAAGTTTTGTCTTTATATTAAAGTGTCTGTATTTTAATACACCGAGCTCGTGTGGACTTTCACTGCCTCAGCAGGATGGGCTGGAATCAGGAGGGAAATGGAATTTGGGGAGTTTGGGGGGGCACAGGTGGCACCTTCAGCCCTGAGGGTTTGGGGACCCTGTGCTGGGCACTGGGGAGGGACAGCAGGGCCTGGGGACAGCTCTGGGCAATCAAGGGACACTGAGGGGCTGGAGGGTGTCCAGGGAATGGAGCTGGGAAGGGGCTGGAGCCCCAGGAGAGGCTGAGGGAGCTGGGGAGGCTCAGGCTGGAGAAAAGGAGGCTCAGGGGGGCCCTTGTGGCTCTGCACAACTCCCTGACAGGAGGGGACAGCCGGGGGGGTCGGGCTGTGCTCCAGGGAACAGGGACAGGAGGAGAGGGAACGGCCTCAGGCTGGGCCAGGGGAGGCTTAGGTTGGATATTGGGAACATTTCCTCCCAGAAAGGGTTGTGAAGCATTGGAACAAACTGCCCAGGGCAGGAGTCACCAGCCTCAGGAGTGCTGGAACAAAGGGTGGATGTGGCACTTGGGGACATGGGGCAGGGGTGGCCATGGCAGTGCTGGGTCATGGCTGGACTCAATGATTTTTCCAACCTAAATGCTTTCATAATTCCCAACCCCTCCAAGCTTTGTTCACTTTAAGCCAGCAGTGTCACCAGTGCAACAAACTCAGTCAGGGATGTGTTTAAACCACAAAAACTTCCTGAGCTCATTCCCTGTAGGATTTAAAATCAAACACAGCCCCAGCTTCACCCAGAGCCCCCAGCCCCTGGCTCTGCTGGGCCACAGCCACAGCCTGGCCCAGCTCCTCTTCCTCACAGCTTTGGCACCTGCCACTGCCCTGGCTCCAGAACCAAAACCAGTTGGATTAAATGACCTTTAAAGGTTCCTTCCAACCCAGAATTTTCTCTGATTGTATGAAAAAGCCTCTCCAAAGCCCCTTGTGGAGCCATCCCCAGCTGGCTCCTGAGCAGGGATCACACCTGGTGCTCCTGAGCTGGCTCCAGCCACCCCTCCCAGGGAGCTTTTGGTTGTAGAACAGTTCTGACCATCACAAAGATTAAAACAGGATTTATTGGGAATGTTCATTGTACAACAGAGGAATGGCTTCAGCTGGCTCTCAGGGAGCCTGGACCCAGCTTTAGCTGAAACACAACAAGCAAAGTTGGAGTGTGAAAAACAAGCAATTGTCTGTAAACCACCAGCAGTTGATGCAGATTTCAAAGTGTCTACAAAGTACCATCGTCCCTCCCTAAATCCCACCCCTGTCCCAGCCCTGCCCCACAATGGATCTGAGTCCCTGGGCCTGGCCTGGCCCTGGCAACTCTTCACAGCTTTTGTTGTACATTCAGTTAAGAAATGTCATTGGTGATGAACATTTAAATCAGTGTTGGGCTTTGCTCTTGCTCACCCAGCTGTTCTCTGGAACAGCAAATAAAACAGCCATTTTCTGCACAGTGACACTGGAGGGTGGCAGCTCCACCTGGGGAAAGGTGTCCAGTGAGGAGGCACCGAGGCCTGCAAGGCACAGGTGACATTTGCTACAGTGGTGGCAGCCCAGCTGAGAACTCAGCTCTGGTTTGTATAAATGCAGGCTGGACAGGATTAAAATGCACTTTGGGGTCATCCAAGGATACTGATTCCCCAAAGCAGTTCCTGTGTGTTCCTGCTTTTAATCCCTCACTGCTGCTTGCCCTGGAGCTGCCATCTGTTGGCAACCCCCCCTGGATTCTGCTCCCTCCCTGCTGCCCTTGGCTGATCCCCCAGGGCAGCTGCCCTCAGATGATTTTGGTATTTTCTGAAGCAAGCACCTGGAATGATTCAAGGGAAAGGGAGTATCTGGGGAAGGAAAAGGGAAAAATCTCAGCTTTGAGATTAAAACAAAAGCATCAGTGACAGGTGTCACTCCTGCTGCTCAGCTGCACGAGGTAAAGAGGGAACACCAGGATACCAAAGGCTGCAGTGTGGGCTCTGCTTTGGACATTAATTACCAACCAAGGAGGAAAAGACCCCAAAATTCCCTTCAATCCCAGCTCAGAGGCTGCTCCACCCCCTCCCCGGGCGGGGCAGCTGAGGGGAACAACGCCCAGAGCTGCAGCTCCCAAAGCCCAGGCCAAGCCCCCGCCCCATTCCTGCTGCCAGCAACCCCTGACAGTGACACATGGGACCTTCCCAGAGGCTTTTCCTGGGCTGGTTCCAGGGAAGCTGCTCTGGCAGTCAAGAATCTGAGTCTGCAGCAGCCCTGGGTATGGGGGGTGTCCTCCATCCCTCATTTCTGGGCAGTTTTCCTTGGTGCAGCTGGAGCCAGGGCTGATCCTACAGGGATGTTGTTCCTAATCCTTATCTCTTCCCTGCAGGAGCTCCAGGACAGGCAGCCCTGGCTCCCTGTGACCTTGGCACAGTTTTTTGGTCTGCCCCTTTGGACAAAGGGGACACATAGAGGGGAGAAAAGCTGCAGCAGTGGCTCAGGGAATGAAGGGTTAATGCCTGGCTGAGCTGGTGCAGTCCTGCAGCTCCAGCCAAAGGGAGAAGCTCCTGCCTTTGCCAGCTTCTCCATCTGCCTCTCCTCCCTGGGAAGCTGGATCACTGCAGAGCTCTGCACACAGGCAGGACCACTCAGGGATCTCTCCCTGTCTTTGTTCCCTCGTGTTCTGCAGCTCTGTTCTTTTGGATGGGCTTATCCAGCCCCCAGGAATTCCAGCACCTGCCCAGGGGAGGGAAAAGAAGACCCCAAGAGGCCGTGGCTGCACAGGGGAGCAGAGTTCCCTCCATCAGCTGGAGCTGTGGCTGAGCTGGAGGAATTCCCACTCCTCCCTGGAAGGGCAGAGAAAGCCCCAGAGCCCAGAAATGCATCAGTCACAACATCCTCTTACAGCCAGGGATGAGCTGATGGCTCCTGGGACTGCAGGAGGATCCTGAGCCAGGGGGAAGGCCAGCAGCCCCCTCAGGACAGGGCAGAGCAGAAGGGCTGGAGCTGGCTCAGGTGGCCCCAGCATGTCCTGGAGGAGAGCAGGAGCTGGGAGCTCTGTCAGTCCCTGCCTCTGCTCATGCCAGGGCTGGGGGCTCTGCTCCCACTGCAGCATCCACAGAGCAGCTGAGCCTCCCCAGCTGGGGAACTGGGAATGTGCAACGAATTCCCTTAAAAAAAAAAATAAAAAAACCATTTGGGTAATAAATAAAAAAGTCACGTGGTCAGTGTGGGGAGCTGCTGTCCTTCCCAGGGGGCTGGGGTGGAGCCAGATCCAGCCAGGTGAGGGAGTTACTGCCTGTGTGCTCCCAGCTGGAAACGAGCTTCCTCTGAGATTCCATACTGCTCCAGGGGGTCCTGCAGGGGGCACAGGGAGACACCAGTGAGATGCAGATAAAGCCCAGCAGCCCTTGGGACACACAGGACACAGCAGGTCCAGGGTCCAGGACACTGCCAAGGTCCAGGGGAGCCACAGCCACCTCCCTCCCCTGAGCAGGGATGCTCCCAGCACTGGCAGGGAATGAGCAGCATCCCTACCCATGGATCTGCCCAGGGCTGCTCTGAACTGCTCCAGAGACCCCCCGGGAGGCCAGGCCAGCCCTGGACGTGCCCAGCTCCAAACCTTGGGCCACTCCAGCACTGGGCTGTGTGCACCAGGGTGGGAGTGAGCACCCAGGGAAGGTGCTCAGGTCTGGCTGTGGAGACCATGGCTCCCTATGGGATCTGGGATCTCCTTCCCACACACAGCCTGGGCAGGACTTCTCAGGCACCACCTGAGAGGTGCCCTGCAGGGACTGACTCACCTTCCCTGTCATCTTCTGGATCTCGTTCCTGTAGAAAATCAGGCTCCTCCTCAGGAACTCGTAGCTGCAAGATAAGAGCAGAGCACGGGGAGGGCTGAGCAGAGAAGGATGTGGGGAAGTTTCAGATGCTGTTTAGAGCTGAGGGAAGCTTGTCTGGGAGGAGACAAGCACTGCCCTCCCAGTTCCTGATCCCACAGCCCCCAGCACTGCCCTGGCCCCGAGGGCTCAGCCCACCTGGCTCTCTTGAGTGCCTCCACCCACTCCTGGCACTGCTCCTCCGTGGCACACTCAAAGCAGTATTTCCTCTCTGGCTCCTCGATGAAACCTGCCAGGGACAAGGAAAAGGCTCCAGGCAGGTCCTGGCAGAGCTGCTGGTGCTCCTCTGCTACCCTGCCCAGACTAAGCCAGGCCACAATTAGCAGTTCTGTTAACAAAGATGAGCTGGGAACGAGTCTGCAACCCCGACCTCCAGCCCCTCTCCCATTCCCTGGGTGGCTCTGGGTTCCCACAGCATTTCCCAGCTTACAGCCAAGACCTTGGGAAGAGCAACTTCCCAAACTGAGGGTGAACCGAACTGGACAGCAGGGCCAGACCCAGGACTGACTCCCTGAGGCCCTTTGCAAAGACACCATGGATTTAAACCCAAGTGGGAAACAGCCCTGAGAGAGAACTGGGATACCTGCAGGGAGCAGCCTGAAAACTGCACTGGGAGAAATCCCTGAGCTGCCTTTGCTGGAGGCTTTTGGGGATGTGGTTCTCACATGGTGCTCCCACCATGGAGAGCAGCTCTCAGTGCTTGACCAGCACAGAGCCAGGACATGCCACCAGCTCCTGTCCCCAGAGCTCTGCTAAGCCAAACACCTGGGTCAGGCTGCACCAGCACCTGGGGATGTGCTGTGGACACATTCCAACACCAGGCACTGCTGGAATCCTCACCACCAGAGCTCCCAGCATCCCCAAAGCCCCAAAATCCAGCACGTGGTGCTCTGGGCTCAGTGTCCAGGCTGTTTGAGGCTTCTTTGCAAGCACAGAGCAGAGCCACAGCTGTGCCTGGCAGCCAGGCCAAAAGATACAGGGATGGCCTTGGAGAAACATCCTGTTATTGTGGCCACATACCTCTGGCACAGGGAGAGCTGAGGATCAAAGGCTGCTCCCAGGGGAGCCAGCTCAGCTGCAGCCCTCACAAGGACAAACAGGGGAGGATGGGGCTGGAGCAGCTTTATCTGAGCCTCTCCAGGAGTTTTGGGGTTTTTTTTTTTATAAAATGCAGCAGCACAGAGCAGATCTGTCAATAACCAAGCTCCCCCTGCCAGGGATTGCACAGCACCCAGTGGAGTCTGGCTGCTGTTGGTGCTGCTCTGCAAATCCCACAGGCTGTGCCATGGAGTATCCCTGAGATCTCCTGGGGCTGGCCTCAGGCACAGTGAGGATCAGCTGAGGAGGGGAAAGGCTGAGGAACTGTTGAAGCTGGAAAAGGCCTTTAAGATCATCAAGTCCATCCATCAGCCCAGTACCACCAGGTTCAGCACTTACCCCTGTCCCAAGTGCCACAGCCAGGCATTTTCTGAGCACTCCCAGGGGTGGTGACTCCACTCTGGGCAGCCTGTGCCAGTACTTCCAAACTTTTTCTGTAAGTAAATTTTCCCCAATATCCACCCTAAACCTATTCTGGGCTCAACCTGAGGCCATTTCCTCTTGTCCTGTCCCCTGTGAGCAGAGCTTGACCCCCACGTGAAGGGTCCTGACCCCACCAAGGAGGGGAAGGGCTGAGCTGACCCCACTGTGACCAGAGAAACAGGGAAAAGCAGGAACTGAGCAGTAAAACATTTCCTTCCCCGGGTGCCCGGGCAGCACTCACTGATGGAGAAGACGTTCTCCTCCTCTTTGGTGATCTTGCAGTGCTCCAGCAGCAGAGCTCCAATGGGCTGGAAAACACAAAGAGAGAAGGTTTAACCCACAGTGCCCCCAGCACCCCGAGGGCTGAACCCCCAGGGCTTCCCTAGAACCTTTTAAACAACTCTCACAAAGCTGGTGCTATTTTGAAATAATTCAATCTGATTGCACCATATTTTGTGTTCCTTTAATCGACCTTTTCATGCCCGTCTCACCTGTAGCATTTTGCATTTGTTAATTAGGTGTTAATCACCTCTAGTGGCTCAGATTCAGCCTGGCCTTTATCACTCTGTGACAGCTGTTTAAATCAAAGATGAAACATCTACTGTGACACCCAGAATTAACCAGCACTGAGCTGTGTAAGGGCTGTCCTGGAGTCTTGCAGGAGGTTAAGCAGCGGGAGGGGGCCTGGAGCAGCTCAGGATGAACAAAAAACCACCTGGTACTACTCAGGGACATGGAGACAGTGGGTGACACTGGCCATGAACAAGAGCAACCACAGGAAATCCTTGCCCAAGTGACACAACGTGCCAGAAACAAATCAGGCAGCAGAGAAGGGATTGAAAACTTGATTTATCTGTATTTCATAAGAACTCTTTGGGTTGGAAGAGACCTCAGAGCCCATCCAGTGCCACCCCTGCCATGGCAGGGACACCTTCCACTGTCCCAGGCTGCTCCAATCCCAATGTCCAACCTGGCCTGGGACACTGCCAGGGATCCAGGGGCAGCCACAGCTGCTCTGGGCACCCTGTGCCAGCCCTGCCCACCCTCCCAGGGAACAATTCCTTCCCAATATCCCATCCAGCCCTGCCCTCTGGCAGTGGAAGCCATTCCCTGTGTCCTGTCCCTCCAGCCCTTGTCCCCAGTCCCTCTCCAGCTCTCCTGCAGCCCTGCTGAGCTGATGGAAGATGAAAGGTGGACGCTGCTCCAGCTCTGTCCCGGCCCACACAATGCATGCACAGAAAAAGAAGAAAGAAGGAGGGGAACAAACCCCCCCACGAGTCCCAACCCGTACCTCGGCCTCATCAGTGCGGAAATAGAAGAGAAAATTCACCACGAGCTTCACCAGGCGCTTCTTCAGCACTGCAGGGACAGAGGGGAGCAGGGCAGGGCTCAGACAGTGGGCACAGGGAGCAGGGGAACCCTGCCAGGGCACTGACCCCACCAGAGCACCCCCTGCACCACCCCCAGGCTGCTCCCCAAACTGTCTGAGTGGCCTCAGGGTGACACAGCCCCTGAGCAGCTCCTGGGCAGTCAGAGCTCACAAGAGCAGCACCAGCAGCGCCCCAGGCACTCCAGGAAAAACTCCAGACCCGGGAGCCCTGCCTGGAGCTGCCAGCAGTGCTGTCACCTCCAAGGGACAAAGTCCTCCCGGTCCTCAGAGGAGGAAGGTGCAGGAGGAGGAAGTGAGTACAATACCCCAGTGCTGGTTTGCAAGGGAGTTTGCTGGGAGATTTCAGAGCAGGGCCTCTTCCCCAGATCCCCTGGAAATGAGAGATCTCCCTGGCCCCAGCCCAGCCCCAGAACCTCCCTTCATGCCCAGACAGGCTCCCACCACTCGAGCTCCCCATTCCCAGTCTGCCTGTGCCCAGTCCTGCCTCCCAGCACTCCCAGTCCTACCCTGGTTTCCCAGCCTGGATTCTCCAGCGCCCTCAATCCTCCCACCCAGCTCCCCCAATTCCTATCCAGCCTTGTCTCCAAGCAATTCCAGTTCTGATTCTGCAGTCGGGGGCCCTCACGTACCCCCACTCCTTCCCTGGTCCTACTCCCAGTTTCCCACTCGTGATTCTCCAGTTCCCCCAGTCCCATCACCCAGGGCACCCAGCCTCTCTCCAGTCCCTCCCCAGTATTCCCAGTCCTGATTCTGCAGTCAGGGACCCGCAGGTACCCCCGGTCCTGACCCACCTTCACCTGCCCATCCCCACCGCTCTCCAACCTTGCTCCCCCTCCACCTCTCGCTCCCAATACTCTCAGTTCGCCCAGTCCTGATTTGGTCCTCCCCCGTTTCTCACTCGTGATTATCCAGTATCCTCAGTCCCACCATCCCAGTTCTCCCAGTCCCTCCTCTCCCGCTTTCCCAGCACCCCCAGTCCCTCTCCAGTAACCCCAGCCCTGATTCTCCGCTCAGGAGCCGCCGCTCCCGCCCCTCCGCGGACTCCCCCTCACCGCTGCCCTTCTTGGGGACGCTCATGCGGATCTCGGCCGCTTTCTCGGCGGGCTGGCGGGCCAGGGACAGCAGCTCCCGCTCGTTGTAGCGCATGGCGGGCCCGCCCCGGCCCATGGCCCCGCCCGGGGCCGCCGCCAGCGCCGCCGGAAGCGCCGAGAGAGGACCCGGAAGTGCTGAGCGCGGCACCGGAAGTGCTCGCGGGGCGGCGGGAGCGCGCATGCGCCAGGGCCGGAGCGGGGCCGCGCGCAGGTACGGGCCGGGCTGGGGGGGCCGTGAGGGGACGGGGGAACAGGGACGGGACAGGGAAACTGCGGGAGCTGGAGGGGAAAACTGGGACTGCTGGGTGGGGGGGACTGGGAGAGATTGGTAATAGGGGACTGGGAGTGCTGGGTGACCTGGGGTGGTGGGGCTGGGGGAACCGGAGATCATGAGCGAGGAGCCGCGGGTAGGACCAGGGCAGGACTGGGGATACTGGGAGGATCAGCGGGGCAGGGCCGGGGGCACCTGAGGGGCCTGGAATGCAGAACTGGGAGGGAGTTACTGGAAAAGTACTGGGGAAGAGGCCCTGGGGGAACTGGGTGTCCTGGGTGGGAGGACTCGGGGTCCTGGAGAATCTGGGCTGGAAAACTGAGGGTGCTGGAAAAGGAGGGACTGAGAGAACTGTGGGGTGATGAGGCTGCGGGAAGTGGAGAAACTGGGGTAGGACCAGAGCAGGACTGGGAGATCCTGGGGCCTCCTGACTGCAGAATCAGGACTGGAGTTTCTGGAGGGGGACTGGGAGAATTGGGAGAACCAGGTGACCTGGGTGGGAGGACTGGGGATACTGGAGAATCAGGAGAAGCAGGACTGGTAGTATTTGGGGGGCCTCGACAGGAGAATCAGAACTAGAGTTAGAGGAGAGGGACTGGGAAAGAGGCATTGGGAGAACTGGGTGATCTGGGGTACTGGGGAATCCAGGCTGGGAAACTGGGGGTAGGATCAGGACAGGACTGGGAGTACTGAGTGAGGAGAGACTGGGAAAACTGGGCAGCCAGGAGTGGTGGGGCTGGGGGAGCTGCAGAATCACAAATGAGAGACTGGGGTAGGGCCAGGGAAGGACTGGAAGTCCAGGGAGGATCGGGAGGAGCACTCGAGTGGGAGCCTGTGGGCCTTGACTGGAGAATCAGGACTGGAGCTACTGGGGGATGTGGCTGGAGAGGGACTGGGGGACAGACACTGGGAGAACTGGGCTCTCTGTGGGGAATGATTTGGGATTCCTCAAAGGCCTTTCCAATGTTTGAGCTCCGTGTGGGGAGGTGTGGGGGGAGCTCTGACCTTGCCGAGGGCAGGGGGGACTCCAGGACCTCACCTGGGGCATGGGGACACTGCTCACAGCCCTGACCCTGCTGGGGGCTTGGGGGGCTCTGAGCCTCCCACGGTTGGGGGTGGCCCTGGGCTTCTGAGGCTTTGGGGGTGTTGGGGTGATGGGGGAGCACCAGACCTGGGTGGTGGGGAGAGGGGAGCTCCTGGGGCTGTTGCTGCCTCAGGGGAGGAGGGAAGGCTCCTGTTGGGGGTCCAGGGAGCCTCTGGTGGGGCTGCTTGGCCTCGCTGGGGCCAGCTGGGCTTGGGAGTGGCTAAGGAGATGGAGAGGATGGATTTTCTGGATCCTTTTACTCTGGTTTCCTGAGTTGGTGGTACCAGATGTGCTCCATGTGGGATTGCATCCCGTGCTGTGTGCCCAGGGGTGTCTGGGGTGTCACTCCCATCCTCTGTGACAGGGCTGAACAGTTCTCTGGCTCAGTTATCACTCACACTCCTGTCCCTCCTTCTCGCAGCCTCTCCGTTTCTCCAGGAGCAGCTGAAGCCCAGAAGTGCCCGCCATGGATTTCCAGCACCGGCCTGGCGGTAAAACGGGCAGCGGGGGCGTGGCCTCGGCCTCCGAGAGCAACCGGGACCGGCGGGAGCGGCTGCGGCAGCTGGCCCTGGAAACCATCGACATCAACAAGGTGGGGACAGGGGCACAGGCACGGCCCTGCCACAGCCCGGGCACGTCCATGGCATCCAGAGTGGTTTGGGTTGAAAGGAATGTTAAAGCTCATCCAGGGACACCTGCCATTATCCCGTGAGGGTGGATCATCCAGCCTGGCCTTGGACACTTCCAGGGATCCAGGGGCAGCCACAGCTGCTCTGGGAAGTCCATGCCAGGGTCTCACCACTCTCACAGCCAATAATTTCTTCCCAATATCCCATTTAAACCTACTCTTGGTTTATTTGGAACCATTCCCCCTTGTCCCGTGCCCCCAGGCCCTTTTCCAAGGTCTCCCTCCAGCTCTCTAGGAACCCCTTTAGGCTCCATGGTTGCCCCAGAGCCTTCTCATCTCCAGACTGAGGTGTGGATTGGGTTTAAATACTTCTGTTTCTGGGCTTGTGGGGGTTGAATAAGGAATATTTGGGACACAGTGGCAGGGAGGTGCCAGCTCTTGTGTATCCACCTATTTCCAGTCTCCTCAGGGCTGGTTTGGGTTGTGATGTTTCCTGCTGCAGTTGGGAATTCTGTCACCAATGCACACAGCTGCTGTTCTCTCTGTTTCCTTCTCTTAAAGCTCTGTGCTATTAATTTAAAATCTGAACTCAGCTACAGGATCTTAGGATATTCTGAGATGGAAGGGACCCTCAGGGATGATGAGTGCAGCCCCTGTCCCTGCAGAGACCCCCCAACAATCCCACCCTGAGCATCCCTGAGAGCGCTGTCCAAACGCTCCTGGAGCTCTGGCAGCCTTGGGGCCGGGACCATTCCCTGGGGAGCCTGGGCAGTGCCCAGCACTTCCTCCAGTGCAGAACTCTGCAGTATTTTGGTTGTTCTCTTGCTTTGCCAATGGATTTTGCTCATAACTTGTCAATCATTCTTTTCCAGGACCCCTATTTTATGAAAAATCATCTGGGTTCCTACGAGTGCAAGCTTTGCCTGACGCTCCACAACAATGAGGTGAGGGGAGCCCCTGCCCATCCTGACCCCAGCAGCAATTGGGGAACAGCAGTAGCTTCAGCACCTGGGCAGTGATGATATGAGGGCTGGTCAAACCTGACAGTGTGACAGCAGCACTCTGAGAGCAATCTGCACTTCTGGAGTGAGATTCCTCTGTGCTGAGGGTTCAAACAGCCTTGTCAGGGTGTGATACAATCTTCCTGTTACAGGAATGTTTCAGTCATGGCTTCTTTTAACTTCTACCTCGGTTTTTATTTCAGGGGAGTTATTTAGCACATACCCAAGGGAAGAAGCATCAGACCAATTTGTAAGTCATCCTCTACCATAACTTTATTTTCCATTACTGAAGCACTTTAATCTTGTGATGCTGGATATCTTTAACTCCATTGCACTCTGCTTGATTGTTCTTTTACTGTGGTTCCTCATGCAGCCAGGAGGCACAGCCTGGATCTGCTTTAAAAATGGTGCTGAAAATCTCCATTTTAAGCTAAAATTCAAATCCAGTTGTGGAATTTCTGGAGGAAGAGGGAGAAAGAAGTTTAAAAGCAAATTGTCTGAGTCTATTTAGAAGGATCTCTGCCTTCTAGAGCTCCAGGAGCGTTTGGACAGCGCTCTCAGGGATGCTCAGGGTGGGATTGTTGGGGGGTCTGTGCAGGGACAGGGGCTGGATTTGATGATGCCTGTGGGTCCCTTGCAGCTCAGGAGATTGCAAAATTCTGGGATCTGGATTTATCAATGCAGGTTTTGGAGAAGTTTGTAAGTTTTATTTTAAGGAATCCAGTTTGCTTCGCTTTATCTGTGGGTTTGGCTTTTTTAAAAAATATTTTATTTTGATTTCAAGAATTAAAGTCTTTTCAAATCCATCTGTGGAGCCTGGCCTCAAGGTCATGCTGAGGGTGGATCAGATGGTTGAGTGACAGCCTTTAGCTAGGGGGAGGATGGATACAGCTGGGGAAGGGAAATAGGTTTTCCTGGCATGATTGCTGTGAAATGCTGTGCTGAAGGACTCAAACTGCTCTTGGGTATCCTTTAGAAACAAGGGCAGGTTACAAATTCTGACATTAATCCCCAGGGCCCGACGAGCTGCCAAGGAAGCCAAGGAAGCCCCTGCCCAGCCTGCCCCAGAGAAAGTCAAAGTGGAAGTGAAGAAATTTGTGAAAATTGGGCGCCCAGGCTACAAAGGTGAGTCAGGGGTGGCCAGGAGGTCCCTGATGGGCAGTGCCTGCAGTGGGATGTGAATTATTCATTAGTCTTTTTAGCAGCTCTGCCCATGAATAAGATATGGCTCTCTCCTGAAGTCCTTTTATTGTTGAAACTGCTCATGGAACATCTCTTTATTGCTGACAGGCCGGGAGAAGCTTTAATAATGGATGGGTGTGTCTCAGGCTGCCAGGGAGATGATGGCATTTCATCTCTCCTCCTTCTCTTGTGCTGCAGCACCTTTCATTAATGCTGTAAATCACTCACTGTCCGCAGAACTCCTGGGTTTTTTCTGAAATCCCATCATTGTGGCCTTCAGTACAAAATTTGGCTTTTTAATCTTGCCAGTGCTTTGCCCCACAGCAGCTGAACTTCAGTAGAGGAGAATGATGGAATAATTTAGGTTGGAAAATACCTTTAACGTCATCGAGTCCAACAGTAAACTTTGCACTGCCATGGCCACAGCTACAGCATGTCCCCAGGTGCCACATCCACAGATGTTTTAACACTTCCAGGGATGCAGATTCCTGGACACCACCTCCCAATGCTTTACAGCCTTTCAGGGAAGGAATTTTCCCAATCTCCAACCTAAATCTGGCCCAGCCTGAGGCCGTTCCCTCTCCTCCTGTCCCTGTTCCCTGGGAGCAGAGCCCGACCCCCCCGGCTGTCCCCTCCTGTCAGGGAGTTGTGCAGAGCCACAAGGACCCCCCTGAGCCTCCTTTTCTCCAGCCTGAGCCTCCCCAGCTCCCTCAGCCACTCCTGGTGCTCCAGCCCCTTCCCAGCTCTGTTCCCTTCCCTGGACACCCTCCAGCCCCTCAGTGTCCTTTTTGTCCTGAGGGCCCCAAACCTGCCCACAGCAGTGACACAATCCCAGCATGGCTTGGGTTAGAGGGACCTCAAAGCCCATCCAGTGCCACCCCCACCACGG